CCCTCCCGCCCTCCCGCCCTCCCTCCCTCCTTCTCCTCTCCTCTCCTCTCCTCTCCTCTCCTCTCCTCTCCTCTCCTTCTCTGTCTCTTGCTCCGTCTTCTTCCTCTCCTCCTCTTCTTCTGATGGCCTCCAGGTCTCTGACCATCAACGCCTCATCGACCGCGGCATCTCGAGCATTCCCAGCAGGTGCAAGAGCTGCCGTCTGAGCTCGAGCTCGGTCAGAGTGCAAGGGGGGCAGGAGGAGAGGAAAAAGGCGCAGGTGGAGGAGGCGATCAAGCAGAAGTACCTCGAGGGGTCGAAGAGCGCGGCGGATAAGATCAAGGCAATGACAGCGAGGGAAATCAGCACCAGCAGCTTGTGGAAGGAACGAGCCAAGGCGCTTGACAAGGGAAAGTCGGGGAGCCAGAGCAGTGGGATCAAGGTGAGGAGGAGGGGGGCGATGAAGGGAAGGAGGAAGAGGTGGAGAGGGAGGAAGGGAGGAGGAGGAGGAGGAATCGACTCAAAGCGGGAAGGGTTTCAATACGAGAATTTAAGTAGACGACGCAGGTGCTTCCTTCCATCCCCAAGAAAAAGTCAATCGAGAAAGAGTGACGTCATCAATCCTCTTAGTTAACACCAGAATGATGACTTCAGAGCCTTCTCCTTCAATCTTAGCAGTTCCTCCTCCTCCTCCTCCTCCTACAGTAAGATGTTGCTCTTCTTGTTGAGATAGCGGATGTCCCATCCTGGCAGCGACAATGTGGAGGCGATCTCCCTGTAGTCGATGGAGCCGCTCCCGTCGGCGTCGATGCGGTTAAATAGCAGGCGAGCTTCTTCCTCAGTAATGATGCCTCCCTCGTGGTTGCCCAGCATGAGTCGCTTCACGGCTGCAGCGCTAGAGTCACGAAGTGCGAAGATGGCGACAGAGTAGGAGGGAGATGGAGAGGAGAGGAGAGGAGAAGGGTGACGAGGAGGAGGCAAGAGGTAGGTAGGTAGGGAGGGAGGGAGGGAATGTATTCTTCACCGTCGGAAAACTCGTCCATGTCGATGCCGGGACTGGAGCCGTTCTTGTTGTTATCAAAATGCCGAAAAATTTCTCTGCAACCACATCAGCATATGAGATAGACACGAATGCGGAAGCAGCAGCAGCAGGAGAGGAAGTAAGTAAGCAAGTGAAAGAGGAGGATGAGAATTTCAAGAAGGATCAGGAGAGAAGAAAATCGTGTGAAGGTTTCAACCTGACAGACACATCACTCCCGTTTCCTTTGACTTTGCGATCTGTCCATATAATTTAGTCGTCCGTCTTTCCCAAGAGCAAGCAGAGAGGAGGGAGGAGGAGGAGGAGGAGGAGGAGACGGGAGCAGTTTGCCTTACAGCAGATCTGCCGGAGCTGGTTGAACAAGTAGTCGATCCTTGCCTTTGGCACGTTGCTTCCTGCCTCGTAGTCGTTGTCCTCTTCCTCCCCGACAAGCTTCAGGCCAGTCTCATTGAGCGGCTTCTGCTCGACGTAGTGAGACGAGTAAGTCGACGTGTATCCTAGGGACGAGGAGGAGCGAGTGTTGTTCGTTGAGGGGATAAGCGTCTTGAGCGCATTTGCCTTCTCCTGTTTGTACCTGCTCGCGGATGTCAACTTCTTCTTCTTCTTCTTCTGCTTTTCCTCCTCCTCCTCCTCCTCCTCCTCCTCCTCCACCTCCTCCTCCTCTTCGTCACTCTTCCTCGTCGATAAGTCCTTCTTCCCGCCACTTCTTGAGCTGCTCCAGGAGCGTCTGCACGCGCCCCGTCCCGTCGACAGCGAGGTTGTCTGGCGACATCCTCGCTCCTTCCATCTCGGGAGTTGAGGTCCGCATCGACAGCCGAGATAGGACAGACTCCTTCCTCCCTCCCACTCGACCCTGTCGGTGCTCCGCAAACGCATCGCAGTGCTCGCTGATGTGCCTATGACGCAAATGTCATCAAGATGACCAGGGGGGGAGGGATTGGGAGTTGTGGGGGTGAGGAGGAGCAGGAGCAGGAGTTGGGAGGAGGAGCAGGAGTTGAAGGGGGAAGGGGGGGGGAGGAGGAGGAGGAGGATGTCATGATAAGGAGAGCCTGAGAAGGGACGAGGAAGGAAGCTCACTGGTTCGTGAGAACGTCTTGGAAGCACTGGCATGCTCTCATCTTCTTGGAACCGCAACGGAAGCATCCTCCCAGAACCCCCCGAGGTGTGTCCAGCCATACGTGACCCCCCGAGTTTGCGCTCACATAAGCTCCGCTCATCTCTTACTCTCTCTGCGACATCCATCAGTGAACTTGAAAGAGCATCAGTGCTGTGAAGAGCACTGAGAGCTAAACACCGCATCTGCTGCTCAGTATGTCATGAGATCACACCGCAACGCTACTGATAGACGACACAAGTAACCATGGCCCTCAACCCATGTCCCTTCCCTCTCTTTCCCTTCTCCTCTCTCCTCCGCCTTC